AGAGACAACACATGAAAACTAAAAGAAATTGATTAATCACATTTCTCTTTTTACCTCGGCATGAAGCTTCTCGTTCTGGGCATGGAGAGCATCATTGTCAGCCTTCAGGACCTCGAACTGCTTCTTCAACACCTCGTAGTCCCTCTCCAGCTGCTTGGTCTTCCACCGAGCCCGCCGGTTCTGGAACCAGATGGCGATCTGCCTTGGCTGGAGGCCGAGCGCCCTCGCGAGCTGCATCTTCCTCTCGGGCTCGAGCTTGTTCCCGATCTCGAAGCTCTTCTCAAGCGCCTTCACTTGCTCCAAGCTCAGCCTCTTCTTCCTCTCCCCCAGAAGCAGCTGCGACCCATCATCCGACAGGTCGTCGTCGTCACCACCCCCGCAAGATCTCTGGTGGTGGTCAGCCCCTGAGAAGGACATGGACCTCTTCATCAAGAAAGGCACGTTGTTGATAATATCACCATTGTTGTGGCTGGGTGGGATGAGTGAAGGAAGTGGGTCTTCTTGGGGGTGATGGTGGAGGGTTTGGAACATGAAATTAGCTGCTGAAGATGACGATGGTGGTGGAAAGGCCATGTGTTGGTGTGTGTCTGTGTGCGCGCGCTCCTTGGGTGGTGGGGTTTGGGAAAAATGTCATGAGAATCGGTGGAGTTTTGGATCTTGTTTCTTTCAGGGGATTCAATAGAGAAACATATATAGTGTATTTTCCAACAAATATTTTATGTATTGATGAGTGTGTGTGTGTGTGTGTGTGTGGGTGACACTCACTTTCATGGAGCGAGAGAGAGAGAGAGAGAGAGAGAGAGAGAGAGAGAGAGAGAGAGAGAGAGAGAGAGAGAGAGAGAGAGAGAGAGGAGTTTGTGAAGGTGATGGGTGTGTTGGTCTGGGCAAGAGAGAGGAAGGACTCTGCGAGTGACAGCGATTTTGAGGTTGATGACAAAGTGAAGGAGGGATTGTGTTCATATTTTACTGGTGGGCTTCTCGGACCCATCCGCTGACACCAGTTCCATCTTTTTTCTAGCCTTCCTTTTATCGATTGCAGTTGTTAGGTAATAGTAGAAAGGAAGATCGATTGCTATCCCTACGGTCCATCCATCCAAATTCACAATTTGAAAATAAGCATGCTGGAATTTTTTGAAATATGTCGTCACGAACGTCGATAATGGTAAAGATGGTATAGGTTCTTGCTCCTTAAATTTCGAGTTCATTCTCTAAACTCTAGTCTAATAAGGATTTTCTTTTACAAATCTTTTATCTCTTCAAGGGGAACACCTCCGGCGATTCCACGTCAAATGCCAAGAATTATGTGTATAGAACTGCAGGGTAACTTTTTGTTCATTCGAAGCGAAAAAGGGGAAAAGAAAATTGTCACTCAATATATACATGTAGATCTTCATATTCAACAAAGTAAGAAGACCATATGCGCTGCCCATTTTGACTTAATTCTCATTTACACTTTCAAGGAGACAATGAGGACCAAAGCTGCTCGAATTAAATGTTCTTTTGCTTCCCGATCCAGCCAAACATACCACAGTAACCCTGCACAAAATACACATGATGATGTCACAGAAGTTTCTAAACATCATCTCACACACATTATAAACCATATACGTCTATATAATACACACACATTTTTTTTCTTTATATGTAGCGCAATTAAAGTTCTACTCAGCCCATGTGTGACGAGGAAATTTGACATCATGCATGAATGTCGCAGAACCCGAGGATAGGCCACCACATTGATAATGGACAATCACAATGGATGTCTTTTTAGCCATTCTATGAAGATTCATCTATCGTGGACCTTGCACTTTTATATTCTTTCAGTGAGTTTTTTTATTGGTGCGAGTCTGGCAATTGCTGGAGCAGTTCAATCATATATATAATATATATATCACAAGGTACTGTCGTATTAATGTAAATCGCAGGAGGGTTTTTCCATATACTATTCCATTAGTGTGAAAATGGGGAGGAAAAAGAAAAGGAAAGACAGTAGATTTGTAACCTCATTCTGTGACATCCGCTGGTGAAGTCTTTGTTAACTCGTATCTTCCTTGGATGCAGGCAAGCTTGGCCAATCTGATGCTTAATGATTGCTATTATGGTGCGATTGTGCGATCTGAAACAGTTAGGGTCTTTTCCACTTGATGTTTTCCGAACTGAATCTAGTGCAGAATCCATGCACATTGTGTCCAGGTCATCCCACACAAATGTACTACAACTGATGTGATAGATTAGAGCACCATGAGGTTCAAACTTTCTTATTAGCATTTTATCTCATGTAATATATAATGCGTCGGGTGCGACAACGGCCAAAAGAAAGTGATTTCATATCCGAACTTGTAGATCTACTCGTATATACATGCCATGCCTATTTTCCTTTTCGTGTCTATAACGAGGAAATACCCCACTAATTAACATTGAGGATCAAATAAGACATAACGTAAAACTCAGGTGAATGTTCTAAATATAGAGTTTATTATGTTTATTAGTATGGAAAATTCGAACCTATGCAGTGATCTACACACAAGTCTATTCCTTAATCACGGAAATATGAAAAGAAAACTACTCGATTAGAACTTGAAAAAGTTCACAGCCACGTTTGTGTTTGTTGAATATCTAGCTACAAAAAGGCTCTCCCTATAGAGGCTTTAACCCAACTTGCGACGGACTACAGCAGAAACATTGAACAGGACATGTTATCTTTTGGGGTGTCCATTGGATGGATGGAGAAAGAGAGACCACAGTTGCTTTATTTATTTATTATTTTTCATCTTTTTTTACTTTTTCATTGCAAGTACATGTAAGGGAGTTGATGGAGAAATGTCTTGTGTATTTGCACAGGACTGAGGAGGCATAAGGGAATTTATGGACCCTACTGAAAATTTCCCTCTGGCCTAGCAACAAAAGCTGCTCACATGCACTTTTTTTCAAATTTATATAACTTTAGGGCTCCCTCTCTCTCCCTTGGAAATAGGGTTGGATCCATGTTATATTCCTCGTTGCTCATCATTATCTTATTATTATCATTATTGTAATTGTTAATTGAGAGGTCTCTGAATCTTCTCCAATCTCCACATGCACTTCCATGTGCCTCTCTCTCTCTCTCAATAAGTTGTGATCTTGCTCAAGGGGTTGCATCTGATTTTCTCCTCCAATTAATTAGACTTTCTTAATCGAATGTTGAGTAGTTACACACTACATGCAATTAATTATTCCTTGACTTCCGATTCATCTAGGTTTGAAAGGAACCGTAAAGTCGGTGTTTGATATCGATAGGATACCATAATCGAGATTGTCGGAGATCTTGTTTCGTAAGGAAAATGGATATGAGATGCTTTCTTGTGGGAATGAAAGCATTCTATACTTTCAAAGGGTTTGTAATATGTACACCGTCAGTGTAAAAGTTATTTTTTAAATAGGCGATATGGGAATGAAAGTATTAACTGTGCTAAAATTAAAAAATGTATACGCATCATTCTTTAAACCATGTTTGCATAAAGAAATTGTTACACCGCCGGTATATCGAAAGAAGGATATATTAAGTTCTCATCGATGTAGTAATTTGAAAATGTTGTTTACTCCCGCCGATATGTCAATGACTAATTAGCTAGCTTGTACGCTAACAAGGGCCATCACTAGCGATGATTATGGTTTTATAGGACCATAGGATGCTTGACTTTATATCTCAATCATGAGATCTAGCGTTCGGAATATATCGTGAAGAATGGAATTTGCCTGTCCAAATGTCGGATTTCCATTTAGGTTTTCGTGCGCCGTGAAAGATTAGCAAAAAGGACGTGTTGGACTGTCTGCAACATATATAGTTACCAAGGTTCACATGATTGAAATAGGTCATCTAGGTAGAGTCATAGGGAGGTAGCTGCTACAAGCCAATGCCTAGGGGTAGCTGATAGACTTGGCACACGATCGTTAAATTGGGAAGAGGAAAAAGAAAGAGTGATAGAAGATGGCAAAACAGAGAAATTTTATAGTGGTGCAGGTTATGCATCTTTTCTTGTCTATTGTCATGATCTCTGATTATCTTCTTTTTGTCAACATCAAGAATTAGAATATGTAGCAAACCACCATGTCTGGATGATCATTGTCCTCACCTTCAAACATTAAGGTGAAGCTTTTCGCTGTAGACATGATCATGAGTCCTGTCACAAAGGAATGGAAGGCCAATTTAGATGGACCTATACAATGGCATTTCGGTATAAAGTCTTGTCCTGCTGAGTCGAGCCAACCCCGTCCAATCCAAAATGTACTGTATACTTTTTACCTGATGGGTCATGGATCGGCTTTGGTAACAAGTTAGGCCGAATCCGAGCACGCAGCTGGGGCGATCAACTCTATTTTGAATCCTACCTGAATATGTAGCCATGCCATCAGGCCCAAAGGAGCCCAAAGATCTTGAAAGGTGTGTGCATTGAAGTGTTGTTGGGTTCTAGATCCATGTGGATCTCAAGCCCAGTAATAGGCTAGTAGCACAAAGCTCCCATCACTCTCCGTTTTTTTTTTTTCCTTTTTTTCGTAGAATTATTATTCTTTAGAATGTTCCTTCAATGAAAGGTCTTAGTTCTTGCCCACCTACCCATATTCGTGCGATCCATCTTCCCCGAGTTAGTGGAGGCCACGAACATGAACCGTCAGCCTCAGGAGAAAATCAGAATTCTAAAGAAGCCACCAACTCAAGCAGCGATCCTAGTGTACTAATCTTGACCCGTGCCAATGTTTGCTGTCGCAGATGTAAATTGAGTAAATATTTGCTTTCATCCGTGTAGAAGTCTCGAATCATTTTTCATATTTATTCCGGTAGTAGAAACTCTCGACTCGGTTGAATCGGTTCATTCAAATCTGGGATTTCAGGGGACCCTTGAGAGACAATCCGATGAGTTTACTTCCTGTCAAGATCGTATTTGCCGACTTACGACAATTCCATGGGCAAAAGAAGACTCAGTACTGTGTCAATGACAAGCTACATTTTCCTTCTTAAATAAGTAGATTACGCATGGGCGCATGCCAAAGCCCAATGTGCATTGAGAATAATTTGACACTGACAAATCTATGGATATCATACCATCTAACACGACGTCGACTATGGTTGGTGTGAATCAATTAATTTAAAGGTGATCGAACTGAAGTTGATAGATATGATAACCATGAATGAAACAAAGGAGGAAAGAAACGTGGACAAGTTTGGCTTTTGGTAAGAACATTAATCATGGAGAGTAATCAGCAAATAGCATTTTCTGGGGGAGTTGCTATTCACATTCTCTCTGTTTCTACTCCATCTCCTACTTTAGGTTTGAAATTGTGGGGGGCGAAAAAAGTTGGTGCTTCTTCTCAATGATTTTATGGCTCTGAGAACATTCTGAAGTCCCATCGGTCGCTTGTTGCTTTCTCCTCGAGTAAGGGAAACTCATATCAGTCTCTTTATGTTTTTTGCTTTGGCTCTGTAACATCGATTCAAATTGATGGGCTGTGCAAACTCGAAGTCGAAGAGCTGCCATCACTGCCAGGCGCCGTATTCGTCGCCAGTGCCCCTGAGCCGAAGCTACTCCACGCAAATCCACCACACACCGCGAAACAAAAGAGACAGTCGCCATGTCGTTGCTCTCACGTCCTCCACGCTAGGCTGTCTCAATCTTGATTTCTCTCGCATAGACGTTAACGAGTTCAATGAGAAATTCATTGCCAAGGGTGGTGATTTCAGGCTTCATGGCGAAAACGGCGACGTCGAAACAGTCGGTGATGAATTTTTGGGGGGACTAGTTGAGGAGGCCAAGACTTGGTCTGATATGATTGAGGAGAAGATACCGAAGGTGCTTCCTAAAACTCCAGTTAGGACTCCTCCTGGAGAACCAGAGACGATCAACACATGGGAGTTAATGGAGGGCCTCGAAGATGTTAGTCCTTTTCGGTCACCAAATTACTTCAAGAGTTCCTCTTTCAACGGTCCGATCCATCAATTGGTGCCGCGTGGTCATCCTGCGACATTGAGATTTGAAGAGACCTGCTCAGAAGGAGCCGATTGTTGCTCTAAATCAAGCGCCTCAGAGGTTGTCTCTGATGAAGAAGCCATATCCAATTTCAAGAAGTACCTTGAAAAACTCTCACCTACTCGTCCATTCCATGTACCTCCATCAAATGATCAAAATGGGTCTTCAATAGCTTTCAATGGCAAGCCACTGGATGTAACTGAAGCTGACCGGGTGAGTTGCGCATTGGCGGATGACGATAACTCTTTTCCGCATAGGAAAGAGATGGTGATCGTGTACTTTACGAGCCTGAGGGGTGTGAGGAAGACCTACGAAGACTCTTGCAATGTGCGGATCATACTCAAAGCAGTTGGAGTCCGGATGGATGAGCGAGATGTGTCACTGCATTCTGGGTTCAAGGAAGAACTGAAGGAGCTTTTGGGAGGTTGGTTTAGCGGGGCAGGATTGCCAAGGGTGTTCGTGGGCAGCAAGTGCATTGGCGGGGCTGAGGAAATCCGGAGATTGCACGAGGAAGGACGGCTCGAGAAAGTTTTAGAGAACTGCGAAAAGGTCGATGATCGTTGTCTCATCAGAGGAGGTGGCGATGGGATTTGTGAGGTCTGTGGGGACATAAGGTTCGTGCCTTGCAAGACGTGCTTCGGGAGTTGTAAGGTACACTGTGACCGCGATGAAGACGATTACAGCACAAAAGAAGGTGAGGGCGATTATTTCGGGTTTCGGCAGTGCCAGGATTGTAATGAGAATGGCCTCATCCGGTGTCCGCTTTGTTGTTATTGATCTCAAGTGGCAAAAGATCAGTCTTTTGCTTACATTGGTTTCTGCATTTTGCTGAGTTATCCTTTGTGAGTTGCTTTTGTTTGTGTATAGTCTGTTGTTATCTGGCTTGAATGACATGAGAACAACCTTTTTTCATTTACAAGAGCATGAGAACAACCTTAGTAAAGCCGAGGATTCAACTTTTCTGCTATAAAAAACAATCTTTTTTTTTTCATGTCAGTAAATTTCTGGAAGAATTTGTGAATGTCGAATTGTTAGTAAAGAAGAATTTAGGTCACCAGATTTCGCGGTAACTTAATTATGATACCGATAATTTTATGAAATTACGAACTTTTTTTGGCAGTTTGTAAATTACCAATTTTTCTTATCTTTTACCAACTTTTATTTGTCAATTTTATTGATGCCTTAAATTTATCAATTCTTATATGAATTTACCGATATTTATTTGAGTAACTCATCAACCATTTATCTCATTATATTCCCTACCGGTTTTCTATTGCCAACTCTCATTTAAGTAACTTATCAACGTTTGAATTTTTTAACTTTTGTTAATTTTTTTACCAATACCGTAAATTTATCAACTCTAACAGGAATTTACAAAAAAAAAAATTAAGTGGCTCACCAATTTTACCGCAAGATCACTTCATCTTCCTTCATTGAATAACTGGGAAAAAATTTGCTTGATGTGCACATGTAAAATGTTCACATGATCTAAGTTAAATTCGAAGTAAACATCATTGAAGATAACAAATTAACCTCAGTAAGAGATGCCACAAACTATACAGTTTTCCTAGCAGATTGTTATACTATCTTTCCTCCATCTACATCAGAGAAGCTTCCATTGATTCTGGCTTCCCTAATTTCCAGCAGAGGGTAAATTCCAGGTTATTTTTGGACTCAATTCCTTTTTACACTTCACGAGAAGATTCTTTTACCTCAGTAAAATATGAATGACGGGCACCAGCAAGTGGAAGCATTTTCATTCGTTTATTTAAATTAAGGAAATCTTTGTTGGTGCGGAGCACATATGTGGCATCAAGCTTGGACCCGGCAAAATACTTTATGAGTTCAACATGCCTAGGAAAGAAAAAAAAAAAGCAGAGTTAGGAAGAATGAGATCAAGGATATGTTATTAAAGTCATGTTAGATGCAACATTTGGTGAGAGATATATGGACTGTTCCTTGTACGAAATTGAAAGCCGCAGACCAACCCCAATCCGAATCAATATAGTTGACTCTTCGAGAAACAGGACGGCCAACTAGTTACCCTAGAGGTCCTAGTCCGATGAGCCGAGTCGGCCTCAAGTCTCAGGTTCGGTCTCTGAGGTGCCAGAGTCCGAGCGATGGGGATGATGAGGACTCGGGTTAGTTATTTTTAAAAAGCATAAATCATTTTTAGAAATTTCCTTGTGAATTTCCACGTATCGTATGTTCAGTCATTTATCTAAAGTACTGCCAAACAGCAAACAATAGAAAAAGTATTTTCCGATAACTGGTTGTTGAATCAAGCCCTAGATATAGAAGTTAAATGTGAACAATGTTATGTCCATCATTTTGAAGTTTTTGTTTCAAGAACTCAATGGGAGGGGAAAAAGAAGAAAAGATACAAGAAAACTCATTGCACCGAATACATTACCGAGCAGCAATAATTGAAGAAACAAGTTAATGAGGAACGAGAATTTTTAACATTAGAAGCATGTTGGCTAAGACATGTGTCATTGGAATATGATTGGCCAATTACGCCACGTAAGTCATATAGCATCACAAGTCACTAACCAACACGTACGAAACATTACAACTATAAGCTTTGCCAAATTATGAAACATTTCTCTGCTCGCTTGCCGAACGATCGAATTCCATGTTCACCTTGGATTTAGAGGGAAACCAAGGGGACAAAACCCGAGCAGTTGAACGATACATGCCCTCATAATCAGACATGGAATCGGATGGAATCTTTATTAGGGTTTTGGTTGACGGCAGAGATGAAACTTAGGTGAGAGATGTATGGAATTCTGCAGCTGAACTGCTTTTCATCATCGACATCCTGAACCAAGCTGTCGATGATCACTGCCTCAAATGAATTCTGACTTCTATTTGGTAGTGGTTCGCTGCCCACCATCATGTCTGTTGACTCTTTCCAAAGCCTAGGAAAAGTCAAAGAGTACGAAACTTTTCTTAAGTAACTTATTCTGTGCATTTTTTCCTATGTTGCGTGAATGAACCCATGAAGACCTAGAGAAGTGGCATTGGATACTATTTCTCATCTAGAGAGCTTTTTTAAATTGCCCTTCCTAAAAGAATCACTTTTTTTTCAAAATTCAGACACGTCTTTAGCCTCACATTGGCAGCATATTTAGACTAGATCGATCCCCTGGAGATAGATGTCATAGTTTAAAATTTGTTCAGGAGGTTTTTCTTTGTATTCAGATTATTCATTATTCTGGTCAAACATAAACATGACGTTTGTGAGGTGTGATCCATGGACTATTCCATTAACCTAGAATGAAACTGACTATTGTTTTATAAGTTGGCATGCACTTATGCAGTTAGATTTTGAAATCATCTTGAGGTAGGAGGTAAATTTACATCTTAAATTTACCCGTTGTGAGGTTAACATTTCATCACGAGTGTCATTCAACGATCCAAATTTATCTTCTTTTCCTTTTCTCTTCTTTTATTTCTTTTGTCCCCTTTTTCTTCTTTTCTATCCCCCCGGGGCGTTTCCATGCCATTGTCGCCATCTTGTCTCCAATACGTCGCTATCCTGCCCCCCTCTCCCCGCACGGTCTCTCTGTCTGTGTATGTGTTCTAACCTCAGAATCCTAGCCGACGGCCTTAAATTCGAGGTCTAGAGGCTGGCCTTCCATTTCGTGCAATGGTCATCACTATCGCAGCCGAGCTCCCTGGCCTTCACAAAGGGAGAGGGCCCGGCGGTAACTATTGATGTGCGATGGCGGTGGCGCGGGACGAAGCCGAGGCTGACACAACATGGAGGAGAGAGAGAGGTTACTTCTTCCGCAATCAAAAAGAAGTAATTGGACCATGTACAGCTATCTCCTGAAGTAGAGGAGACGAGGAGATCAATTTTGTGGAAAAAGCCCCACATTTAGCAAGGAAACATGCCAATCAACATACGAAGTGAAAGGGACTCAAGCTTTAAGAGGACGAAAGCCCATTAGAAGCACAGAGACAAGAAGGGCCTACCTAGCTTCCAGCTATACCTCTCTCAATATGGACCTCCCATAATCCGTGGTGAGAGGGAAAGATGCAATCTTTGCTTTTCGCTGTTTTGATTCTGATACCAGATTTCTAGAGATTCATGGCTTCCATTTTCCGACCCCTTTCATAGAAACCGGCCCTTGATTGCCAACTTGTTTCAATAATACACGAGAAAAGCAGATATCAGACCATCTAAAGCTCATAAGTCAACTTCACAAGTCCATGGGTCCATTTCGATCACAAACGCCGTAATGATACAGTAATCATGATTCCGACAATAGGAAAAAGCTGATGTCGGTTTCGGTGCCGTTGGGCGGGCGCACATTGTGCATTGGTTTATCTCAGGAAAATTCTCATGTTCCTATCGCCGCAACACAGGGAAAATTGTCCAAAAAGTCCTAAACCTATTGTACGGCAGCCAAATCGGTTATAAACTTTTCAATTGTACAAATTTAGTCATAAAACTTTTGATGATTTGCCAATTTAGTCTTAAAACTTTTAACAATTTGTTAATTTAATCATTCCGATCAATTTTGATTGGAAATCGCTGATATGGTGGTCTAGTCAGCGCCGGCCATCCTACGTCGGTCATCCGACGCAGGATGGCCAATGCTGACATGGATAATTTTTTAATATTTTTTTTCTTTTTCCCCTTTTCTTTTCTTTTTTTTTCTTTTTTCTTTTTCCTTTTTCCTTTTTTCCCACCTCTGACCATCGTTAGCCTCGAGTGAGGGACACCTAGGCTTGGGCTAGCGCGGGCCCCCCTCACCTGGGCGAGAGGGAGGATTGCCCTTGCCGGATCTGGCAAGGGTGAACCTCGCTAGGGGCCAACAAGGGCTGCCCTTGCCCGATCTAGCGAGGGTGGCCCTTGCCATGCCACCGGCCATTAACGAGGCCCTGTGATGGCCGATAAGGGAAATAGAAAAGGAAAGAAATTGTAAAATTTGCCCACATCAATGTCAGTCATGCCATGTAAAACAGACAGTGCTAACTAGACCGCCACGTTAGCGATTGTCAGTCAAAATTAGCTAGAATAACTAAAGTGACAAATTATTAAAAGGTTTAGGACTAAATTGATAAGTTGTCAAAAGGTTTATGACTAAATTAGTACAATTGAAAGGTTTAGGACTGAATTGACCGCCATAGAATAGGTTTGGTACTTTTTGAACAATTTTCCTTCGCAACACATGAGTCAAACAATTGATCAATCAATACTTGATCTACCATGTTGGATACACTCGATTTTCAAATTCGATTTAGAACAAAGCGCTCGAGGCACTATAATTAACATGGACATATACAAGTATGGGTCACATTTAAGTATCCAATGTGACAATGACTACCACTTTGTCAATCTATTATATAAAAACACCTTTTGTATCTCCAGCATCATTCTTATATAGATATAGATTCAGATGCTGTTTATCAGGTTCCGAGGGTGACACAGCATAGATTGGCTTAAATCTCTTTTGCTTTTTATAGAGAGCTCACACCTGCTTAAGTCTCTTTTGCTTATTTAAGAGAGCTCACACCTTACTTATATAAGATTAGAATCTATGATTTTTATTGCACATCAAATCAAGTTGCCAATGATTACAAAACTATGGGGCTCATGGGCTGACGCTACAACACCCACCTGACCCCTTATGACCGACAAAACCTCAGTCTTTTAAATACAGGGATATTGACAGATTGACCATTGCTCTATGCAATGCCAAATTTTACCAAAGTTTAGGTGAGAATAATATGGCAGTCTCTTGTCATCATCCGTATTTTGGAGTAATTTTTACTTTTTACTTCCGTTCTTACCTTATTTTAGTAATCCATGTTTAACTTTGATCTCAAATTGAACATTTTAAGTCCTTTCTTTAAATGAGACTACAATAAACCCGTCAAATGGATGGGTCGGGACAGGTCGGGTTTTGGTCGGGTCGAAAATGGTCCGGTCTTAATTGACTCATTTCCATGCAATATAAATTTAACGACACATACCACCCAATCCGACCCATATTGCTAAAGCACTTATGTAATTAACCCAATCTAGAAAAACTCATACCCAAATTGAGGTAAAAGCGCGGAGTGAGCGAGGGCAAGAAAGAGTCCTAGAGGTGGGTTGAGTCTAAGTAAGTTGTGAACTCATTTAATACCCATATTATTTTGGCTTTTACCATTCTACACCCATTTATGATCTATTTACTAAATAACTAACCCATATAACAACTCAACCTATCAAATATGGATTAAAAAATGGATTTATGACCTATTTTGACAGATCTAGACGCCAACGACAATGACAACAACCCAGTTATTCTCGTTAAAATTAGTTTGTTTTCACCTCATTCTTAAGGGTCAATTGGAATTTATATAAATACTCTTCTTAATTCTTTAAAGATATGAAGTAATCTTTAGGGAAAATGAATAACTACCTTATTGCTTGACGAAAGTTTCTCCAATGTATATTACCTTGTCAGTTGGTAAAGAATTCTGTGATCAAAATAATTGAGCGTCCCTATGTAATTTTTAATCTTAGTTTGTGCACAAGCAACGGATTCAAACAGGCATGACTTCTCAGTTCTCTAGAGGATAAGAATACTTCCCCTGTTCGGAATGACAAGTGTCTTGCATTCGATCTAACATTTTTCCGCGGTCTACGACAAATGAGAAATGAATTCCTTATCATTGTCCTCCATTTCAAAATCGGAACAGTCCCGAGGAAAATCCATGTATCATGTTGTTCAATTAAACGAAATTTTAAAAGTCGCAAATGTCCATGAAAAGCAACATTTCAACGAACAATGCCACCAGCAGTTTGGCTTATGCATCCACAATCTACATCAGGCATATTATAATATAGGGTCTTGAGGGGTGCATGCAAGTGCATTTTATTATATACTCGACGCCTAATTACACTGCACTGTACGTCCGTACAGGAGAGACGATATCTACTTACATGCTAGCCCTTGTTTTGATTCTAGGGATATGAAAATCACCCAAAGGGAAAAGAAAAATTGAAGGAAAACGAAGCTAGATGGAAGCAGAACACAAGCTGGTTCAGTACACGAAGGGCTCTATATGATAACATCAATTACGAGAGTTTATATTAAGCTCCTAATGATGGCGGCCTCAGGACTATCAGGATCGATGGTGGACAAGAGCTGGGAGAGTCGCGAGCTGAGGTCGTCCACCTCCTTGTGCAAGTTCTTTATGTAGTTGCAGGTCTCTTGCAACACCTTCGAGGCCGGTACCTGCAAAGAAAGAAATGATGGATGCGTCTCACCGTTAGCGCGTGTGCGTCTATTGAATCGAAATTTCACATGGATTGACAATGTTTTCCGCATAATATATTTGACCAGGTATGAGGTCATGCGTTTGAATCTTTAGACTGACTCTTTAGCCTCCTCATGAAGTTGAATTCTTGTACTGCACAATAATTATTTCAACCAAATGCCCGAGGGGATTACTGGTAAGATTGAATGATCATTTAGTTCTCTGTCTAGCTAGATCACTAGTTAGCGAAATTTGGAAGCATGAGTATGTCTTCTGTTGGCAAGTATCTCCGTACAGATACTAACGTAGATACGTGTTTGTATCTTTTGGCTACGGGAATGAAAAGGTTTTGATCTTGTGTCCCTTCCAAATGCTCCAGAGTTCTGATAATTAGTAATTCCAACTCTAGGTTTGATGTCTATACCCACCAGAGAGCTAGTCCTTTATGAATTAGCTAACACGTTATGTGCATAAAAGTAACTTACCATACAATAGATCTATGTAGCTGTTTAGTAATATCCAGACAGACAATATCTAACGCGCATTTATACAGACCGACGAGCGCACATGCATGCTTCTAGTACTCAAGTATAAGTACATGCTCAAATAGGACGGTGCCGACAGTGTTGGGAAATCACTTGTGAGTAGGATATACAATCGAAGTCAAGCATCAAAAGTGCAAATTTAAATGCCAAACAAGCTTAGCGTATACAAGCAACGAAATAGAGATAATGACATACATGATGATATATATAAAAACTTCAGCTTCTTTGTTGTTTCCATGTATAGAATGATATGATTTATGATCGCAATAAGCAGAATATATATGCCCACTTGTCTACTGAGCTCAACTTTGGGGCAAAGTTCTAAATTTAGACCGAGTAATTAGATTAATAGAGCTTATTAACTTTGGGGCATGGGACTGAGTAGGACTATGAGCACTAATGTAACCTATTCTAGTATTCTGGGTCTTTTAAGGACCATGTTCTGTAACTATATGCATCGACCAAGCTAGCCAGCTAGGAAGTTATACTCCCCTTGTCCCTTCATTCGCTAGAGATGGAGAGAGCGTTTATGTACCTTATCGGAGCGTCGACGATCGCGGATCTCAGGAAGAAGTTCGCGCAACTTGGACACCAGATCAATGATCTGATCATCGCTGATCCTCGAAGACCCAGACTGCCTTGACCTTCTGCTGGACATTCTGGCTAACTCGTTCAGATATATTTATGACAATGTGGACAAACCTAGTATAAATCCCCAAGAGGGACTGGTATCTCTTATGGAAGTGAGGAAGATATGCTTCAAGAGAAGGAAGGAGAAAGGAAGGTGGAGTGAATGCAGACGCTAGCTACTTTAAACTACAAAGGTACCATGATAGAAATTTGTAGAAAGTGACCCAAGAGTTATAAAGAACGAGGACCATGCCGCCCGGAGAGAGAGAGGGAGAGACCGAGAGAGAGAGTACAATAGACACAGACAGCGATGTTTGCTATGAAGAAGACAACTGCATTGAAGGGAGGAGCAAGACTAGACTTCCTCTGACACAGAGAGAGAGAGAGAAGAAATGAAGCTTCTCCTTTTTAAGAGGTGTTCCCGAGTTGGGGATGGAGCCCAAGTGGGAATAGAGAAAGATGTTTGTTCTTGAGCAAACACAGTGGGCCTGCATGTGTTCGCCTCATAATGCACAACGCCATGTGATCGTCTTTGGCGGGGGAGCTCTCATCTTCTGTATAATTCCTCTGGTGAGCTTGCAAATCTCCTCAGCAAATCAGCTCGTGCCACTCCACCAACTCCTTAAAAAAACAATTTTGCTGTGGCAGCCATTTACAAGATTTGGACCCTACTGTGTATAATTTAAGATGAAAGTGGGGCATTTACTAGACCAATGAAAACTAAATCGAATTTCATGTTTTTTTACTGCGATTGATTTTGTCTGTAATGTCAATATAGTGTTGAGTTTGGTCTAATTTATTTACTAATTATATGTGTGAATAGTAACGAATTGATATGAAAGTGTGTTTGTGCAGGCCAATTGCCTTAGGTTTGGTTTTATCTTGTATACAGTATGCCACGATAAAGGTCGAGCAAGTATTGTCTGCAACAGCCTGGTTAGCATTCGATCCACATGAGATCTCATAAACAAATACAAGTTCACATAGAATTCATGCACTGGAGTGAGTCAATCCATCACGTCTATACAGAGAAATGCACAGAAAATTCTAAATATCTCTAGCAACATCAATTTCAAAACAAATCTATATAATATTTTTCTCAGCCGCGTTTCCTGAAAAAGCAAAGCTACTCATACTTCTACATTCGTGAGTTTCTACATGGTGAGCATATGAACGTCTACTTGATAGTTCTTCCATGCGTATCCCATTACATCACTGAGTAATTCGGCAATGCTGTGGAAAATGTATCTTTAAATATGATGCAGAGAATTAGACCCCTATCACTTTTTAATAAAATGACTACTATATTTATTTTATTCGTGAAAAGAGTGGGGAGGAACGATTGAAACAGCTACCCCTCTAAGTGTTACCATTAAGATCTCACACTCATTATAGAATGTTCGATTTGAGCCATTATTATTCAATCCATTCATAGGTATATGAGCGCATTAATCCTACCAACATGTTGGAAGCTAGAAATTCTCTCTGCATGAGACATCAATTGCCGAGACACAAATTGACCAAAGATTCGCTCCCGACATGACTCAAACTTGTAATCTTATGGAAGATGATTTGACTCATTTATTATTGAGCTACCACACTCAATGTGCAGTAACTCTATATCTTACTTAATGTGAAGATATGACATAGATGGACAAAATAATTTCTCCACTCGAAGATTCCATCTACAAGGGACCTGTTTTAACTTTTGCTGAGAGAGCAAGTATCAAGGAAAAATACTTATTTACCATCTCTTTCCATTTTTATTTTTTTTCTATCTTTTTTTTTTTTTGGGTAGGGTAGTCTCCCTCATCATATACAATTCTTTCCCTTTCAATGTTTGGGACATGACTGCGTGAGTGTTGCACAATGTCAAAGCCCTAGTCACATGCCATTTCCCTGGTACACACGACAAGACACGTGTCATGTCATCAAGTATAGTACACTAATTTATGGAAGACATTTAATTCGATAGTGTATAAGATAGCTATTAAAAATTATTTTCCATGCCCTATTTTTTTGGGGGGGTCAAGCAGATTCACGTGTTGGTGGAAAATATAAAAACTGGAGGACCTTCTTCTAGGACCCCCCCACCCCCAATTTGTATGAATAGCTTTTAGTACAACCACCTTAAGTTGGGGCAACAACCAGCAAATGCCATCACGATATGGTCATTCCGGGCATCTAACGTGATGTTTTATGTTCTCTCCTCAATTATTCAGATGCTTCTAGGAGTGTATTTTAAAAAGGAAAAAAACCAATGGAGGTAGGAGCATTCTCTCGATTTACCGCATTGGTTGAATCAATACGACTAAACAATGGGTCGACCAGAGATGGTGGCTAATGATGGCTAACCAACGATGGTCTTTCGGTTTGGTCCAAAAGAGTCACCGACGCTGGGATCATTGCCGATGATGATCGTGTACAATGGACCGTTGGCAAAAGTGCCATTAGCCAAACCAATCGCGGACACTAGAATTCAATCAGAGGTCATGATAAGAAAAGGATTTGTAATACCCTAACTCATGGGGTTTCGTGCGAATGTTTCGTACATTTGGTCATCAAAATTGGTAATCCCCTAACTCGAATAGTTCTTAAGTATTGAAACTAAAGATTCAATCAAGTTTTCGTTTGATGGGTTTTGATGACCTGCTAATGATCCAATTTTGTCTTTGATAAATCCATTTTCTTGATCCATCTTTTAAGGTGTCAAGATCTTCTTCTTATCAAACGATGGTACTAGTTCACAAGTGAAAGCAACACCGGACAAAGCCTGCAAATCGATCTACACGCCCAATGTCCATATGTGAACGTGGAATTGACATTACATGATGTGCTGTTACGTATCAGCAGCATTATTGATGATTAGAATCTTCTGTCTTTGAATTGAGGTAGTGTGTGTTCGCTTTCCCTGATTTTCTTGCCAAAACATAGGATCGGGCAATGATGTTAACAGATCAGTTGGAGAAATTAAGGGCACGAGAGATTCAATTTTCCCCGTAGGACAGAAGTTGATTTAGTGTGGCCCATGTATTTAAATTTTTCCTGGTGCTGTCGTCGGAATTTAAGTGATTGTTGTTGCTGCTGCTGCTGCTGCTTCCCATTGAAAAGGGCTCACCCATCTTCCTTTTAAAAGCCAGTCTTTTCGCTTTCTTTTCCTTCGCTTTCGTGTTTCAGGTGTAGGAAGCATAGGCCAGACCAAATTAATCAACAATACATAAGAAATAACTACGTCAACAATAGAGGAACCCTTTTTTTGTGGTAATCATAAAGTACAAAACTAAACAAATTAAAGTCGAAAGTCTACCATCCCAACTTTACCACTAAACAAAACATAAGATAATTGGTCTCCCAATCTTAGATTTGGGAGCTTTTTTCTCCGATCTAATTCTAGATTTAGGAGTTTTAATGAATAAGTACTCCGCCTCCAGTTTCAATGGTGTTCATAGCAGCATTTGTGTCAAATATGTGCTCGTTAAAGGTGTTTTTGTTAAAAGCTTTAGCATCTTGCATGTGCTAAGGGCTTGCTCCCACAAGTGTCAGATCTGAACTTGTCCAATATGTTTATGTTATCTATATACGGTGATGGTGTTGGGGACGACAAACCTAGGTGTACACCTTTAAAAGGCAAAGCCGTAATTATAGATAGAGATCCTGGTGTGTGCTCATCAATGATGTTGATGTGTGATTCAATGATCGCCCGCTCATTATTTTGCTTGGATCCAGTCATAAATCTATTCTTGAAAGACGAGTGTGTAATTATCTCTGCCAACCATGCTCTCATGATGTAACTTGATTTCTGATTTTGGGTTTGTTTTGGAGCTTTATGGGCTTGCCTTGTTATGATAACTTTTAAGATTTCCTATGGATCCTTTCATGTATCCTTTTGATAAAAAATGGAAATTTAATTTGACCAAAAAAACACATGAGATAATTCTCTAGGAGGTTGCAAGTAGAACGTAGTATCCAATCGCTTCGCTAGGCCAATATTGGCAAGTATATCAACAGGCCAATTGCCTTCCCGAAAAATATGATGTATTTTGAACTCAAAATGAGAGCCCATGAGAGATATCTTTAAGTAGTGTTGGTCCAGTGTTATCCGCTATGCTCTCTTGATTAACAAGTTCGGTGATAATATTGGAGTCCAGTATATGGAAACCATGTTGCTTTGCGATGGTAAATCCCAACCATAGCATCCATAGTTCTCCTTGTGAAAAAGGAACTTATTCCAAGAAATGAGGTAAAACTTGAAGTCAATCACCCCCGTCATTTCGGAATAATCCTCCGACTCATGTAATTCCAAGATTACCTTTAGACGCTCCATCTGTATTCAGTTTAATTCATCACAGAGGTGAAAGATCCCAGGCGATCATAATGGGAGAAGTACGTGATCCACTTTTTGACAAGTTGATCACGGACAAAGATATGATTATTTTTTGTGCTGCTGGTTGTTAATTTGAGGCTCCATTTGTTTCGCAAGAAATGAATGATTATATTTTCCTAGAAATAATGGCTTATATCGCTTAGAAAAAAATATGAACCAAAAATATTTTCATCGTCTAGAAAATATTTAGACATAATTATTGCGGATAACGAAAAAAATTTCATTGACTAATTATTTTAAGAGATATGAACTATCAATTTTTGGAAAATATTATCCAAATCATTTATTTTCTGCAAAACAAATGGAGCCTGATCGATATTTAAAGCTAATCTCCCATGCTCATTCATTTGCTATTCATCCACGCTGTACTAGATAACTCAATCGTCTTTGTAATTAAGGAGTGAAGCTGTTGAGGCAAATAATAGAACCTACAAGCGGTGAATAGGCCGATTGAAAACTTTGGAAAACTTTCGTGGAAATAAATGGTTATACTTTGTCAGTTGCATAAACAAATTGATAATTCCATACACGTGGGAGCTTCTATCAAACAAATATAGATAATAATGAGCCGATAGAAGATAGTACGCACAAATATATAGTGCTTACGGATTATAATCAAGCCTACTCTACACCCTAACAACCTTAACACCAGCTAGAATGAAATTGTCCAATCAATTTCGAACATATTGTACAAATACCAATTCAGTCATAAACTTTTCAATTTCAACAATTTAGTCATTAACATTTGGTCGAAATTCCAATATAGTCTGTCTAGCCAAATTTTCGCCAGAAAATCGCTTGCATGACAGTATGCCACATAGGATGGCTTGCAATGACTAGACTACCACGTCAACGAGAAAATTGCTTGAAAGGGATAAATTAGAATTTCGAAAAAAAGTTGAGGACTAAATTGACATAATAAAGTTAAGGATTGAATTGGCATCCACGCAATAAGTCAGTTTTGGATTGGGTAATTTTCTCCGCTGGCTAGGATCCACTAGTAATCTCAAGAGATATTACAATCCAGCAAGTACCACTTCCATCACATAATAGAACACACCATCATGATACAAGAACTGCTATTACACTTGTATACTCTTCTCTTGTCGCTAATTACAATACAACAAAAGCTCCACGACACAACAGACAAGAGCACAGTTTGCTCGCGATAGGAAGAAGATGATGATAACAGAGTAGGCTTTCTCAATTTTTCGCCCAACCCCTTCTAGCTTCTTTGATCCTCTTTATATGAATGTTCCTTCTACAATCTAACCGTTGGAGATCCTTCTGAAGAGTTAAGAGCCGTTGACAGTTGATAGGAGCTGTTTCCGAGGTTCAAGCCGTCCATATAGTCTATTCCTATTGGCAAAAGCAAGGTTTATCAAAATGAAGTCTACTGCTATTGTTACATTAATTGTTTCTAAATGTTTGACCACAACCAGCAGAGCTATTGTGACTCATCTCCGATCTTCTATCCACGGATTCCAAACCTTGTCAACGGCTATTTTCTTCCCGTTTAACAGTCATCTTGAGATGAACGATTGACCAACACCTTCCAGGACTTGATAGTGGCACGATTTATTGCTCCTTATCACTTGATAATAGGGCATGCCTTTATCAACAATCCATCGGTGTTGTCCAAGGTATACCTTACAAAATGACTTGTGATATATGTTATCCATCGGTTTTCTGGAGCATAACAATACCACAAGACTTTACTTAGATGTCCACTTGATTATGGTAGCTCCAGGTCCTTGTGAACACTTCGCTCTATCAAACTTGTTCTCCTCTTGCCAAGGTCCTCATCCTTGTGAACATCTTTCCACTGTAGCTGAGGAGACTACTGATACGATCACAGTCTTCTTGCTATTATCATCATCAATTGATCATGAAGAACATCTGCATTTATCAAGTATATATAAAAACAAATATAGTTTTGGAATCATCAAAATACCTTAGGGAGGTTTTCCCAATAGAAACAAAGTCAAGTTACTCGTGAATCGCTCAGGTTCGGCTCAATGATTGCTCAAGATCAGCTCGCCTAATTTTGAACAATAATCGAGCTCGAGCTATTTAAGTACCTTATCGATTTCAAGGTCAAGTTCGTCAATACTGAGCTCAACAAGCTCGTGAGTCTAGTCGATATTAATCAAGATTCTGTTCTTTCCTCAATAATATTTAAAATTTTTAAAACAAACACCAAAATTTCCTAAAAAACTACAATAATATTCAAGCTACTTAAACTCAAGCTCGAGCTCAAGTTCATTTACAAATTGATTGTAATCGAATCGAGTTGAGTTCAAGTATCTTGATTTTTCTAGTCAAGTCGAACTTGAGCAGAAAAGTCGATTCTCAATCGAAGTCATTATGCCAATCGATTCGAGCTCGAGCACTCGACCCTGATTACATCTGTAATTGTAACTGGTCCCAAGTAGCTTAAATTTCAAACGAACTGGTATGTAAAAAAAAGAACCGTGTCTGTGTTGATGACACCCTGTCGAGTGCGCTAAGGACAAAGCAAATGTGATAAGCTCGATTAAGAGCCGTCCACGAGGAACTCTTTCGATTCTCTCTTCATTAATTATACACCTTAATCCAAAAATTCTCTGTGTTTCTTGCTCAAGACTCAGACCTGAAAGCTTTCGATCGAACCTCCGACAACCCAACCATCTCTGACTTGCTGGTATCATTGTCTAAACACAAAAATAAAGCTGGTCTTGCCTCCACACTAGTCCAAAATGATGCTTGCTTTGTTTGTAAGTGGCGATGCTAAGAGCGTGGTTAATTAAGCTTGCCGACATGTACTTAATGGTGTCTAATCACATGCATTAACTATAATATATGCTTTGCAGGACCAGATGTGTTCTCCACCAGCACGCATTTGCCCCTATTCAACTTAATTTGATCGTGCATTAATTGCATGGATAATCATGATTCCAAACACGGGCAACTAATATTTATTGGTTTCCTCGAGTGAGCTTGCTTTTGACTGTCGTTTTCTAAGTTCAACACATGTGGGTGACAACATTCATGTCTTTTGATAGTCCTTTTTGGGATCAGCCTGCTCGATCCTCAAGATCTCTAAGCACAATTAATTGAGTCTTAAACACCCAATGGTCCGAACACTTCCAAATCTTAGATTCAACTCTTCCTTATTGTGGAAAATACTGGGAAAGGTCGTAGTTACGTTAATGGATGTTGTTGAGAGTGCGCAAGAAAAACTCGATACCTTTTTTTGAGGAAACCATCAAAAGGAAGCCAAATTCCGAACCTATCAATATATCTAGCTGGACCCACATTTATTCAAAAACTTAAGCCAATAAATTATGGGTCAACTCACACATGTATCTTAACATTACAGCAAAGCCCACCGTCACTCCAGGTATTTTTCGCCAAACCGAGCCATGAAAGTTGCCCAAAAACCGCATCAGCAAAAGCCCGATACATTCATATTGGTAAATCGCCAAGGAAGAGTTCAAGTATGAACCCATCAATATATCCAGTTGGATTCATATTCATTTAAAAACTTAAATCTGTGAATTACAAGCCAACTGAAATATATTAACTACTTCACGCCACACTAAAATTTCAATGCGGGATTTTTTCTACCAGACCTCACACATGTATCACAAGAGAGAATCTTGCAGGGTCACGTGGCGCAGATATTGATGTTCCCTTGGAAACTTAATTTTCCAAGAACAACTTACGCCAAATTCAAGAAGCATGCGACTACAGAAAGAGGCATTTCCTCCATGCGCTTGACTTTTTGGCATTTTGTTATGACTAATGAGCAATCATTATCGCATTAGTTCCTTTAATTTTCCTCTTTTCTTATGAAGTTGAGGTATCGAGGTGCAGTTAGGAACTGATTGACTCTTGGGGCAGCCTGCCTGTGCATGCGACACCAGATAATTTGCAAAATTAAACTGAGTCTGAACTTTTGTGGGTGATTCCAGTGAAAGCGTCGATATGCGGAGATCATATATTTGTATCTAGGAAAGACGATCTTCTCCTGTTAGGGAAAAGATTTTAATGTGGGAAAAAATCAATCCGCTGGCGATACAAAAAGCTAGTGACAAACCGAACTTTTAAAAGTCAAATATGGAAGCGTCTTCTACCCTAATTTTTTGGCTTATGCTTTTGACTTTTGGGTGAAGACATATACGAGAACTATGTCCATCCTATAGCAATTTCACGCGCACTTTTACTAGTCTTCGATTAAAAGCCGGGACGGCAAAATTTCTTTCTTACCCCAACACGAAAGTAAAAAATTTATGAGCGACAACTTTTCAAATCACCCTCGGATTTGATAACCACATGCTAATCAAACGTCATGGTCGCCCCAAAAATAGGCTCAAATGGAACCCGACTTGTTAGGAGCCCAACGACTGTGCACGAGAGTGCCAATAATCCGAAAGGAAGAGGATCCCTCCATGCTTCCAAGACCCAAGGATGACTCCATAGACAAAACATCATGGAGAGGCCTAAAACTTGCGTTCTACTCCTTAATCAAGTGAGAAAATGAACAAAGGGTCAAAAGAATTTTGAGCTTCTTTTGGTCAAAAAGGACCTCTACCTGATGTTTCTGCTCGAATAGTCTTTTTTAAGGGGCTTCGCTTTAAGTGCATGCAGGCCTTTGTCCTAATCATGGGCTAAGCTGCGAAGGTCAAAGACTCGTGAAGTTCATTTGGCTACAAGATGCTCTCTCGATGCCGAATAACGAGGCACGAATTAGGTTCAAAGTCAGATTCGTCATGATGCCCAACCTCGAGCTCTACGCATTTCGCGCATATGTCTCGTGCTTTTGCCGATAGGAAAAGTCTATGGCCGGACGCCGAATCGACTGCTGAACAAAATCTTCCACCTCACGTGAGTGCTGTTTCAACTGAAGATGCGGCCCTCTCCCGCTCCCAATGTTTGTGGAATTTGTAGTCTGAGTCCAAAAGTACCATGATGGTTCCTTTCGATACGTGAAGTCGTGTGATGATTATCGTGGGTCATGTGCAACATTAATAGCGATTTGCGTGCTGGCTTTGCTCGCACGGGCCCGTCACTGTCGATTAGCTTTTCTCGAGTTTGAATTCAGGTTAAAAAGAGAAGGACAAAGAAAAAAGAGTTAGGTTGAAGCAACCGTCCTTTTGACTGTCTAATGCATATATCCCGGAACGAAGATAAATATTCACGGGGCGTGTCGAGATGTGGACGAATGCGCACTTCGGATTCGAAGCTCTTACCTACAATCGTTCTTCAAATGTTCACTTTCCGCCACATCGAAATGAGTTTTGCTCATCCATAACAAAGAGCAAGTGGAAGTTCATATGAACATGTTGCTTCCACTTTTGCCAAGAGCTATGGTCCATTTTAGCAAAGGCTGAAAGAAGCCTCTTCCCCTCGAAACCCAATAAAGAGAACGATTGTGAGTAATTCACCACCTCGTGTAGTTAAGAAAAATGGTATGAGACTTATATTTTATTTTACGTTATTCAAGTTTCTCGTGATTGTTTTTTTCACGCGGACCTCACGAGAAAGTTATTCCTCGTGTTATGTTACGACATTGGAGCCCTTTCCTAAAATTAAGGACAAAAAAGTCTTGCATCATAACGGCAGCATGTCCAACTATTCAATTCGAGGAAAATTGCAAACGAATGCTTAAAACAAAAGAAGAGGAAAAAAAAAATGAAGGGAGCAATTTCCGGAACTAAGCTTCTACCAAACATTCTTATATAAACGGCGACGTCGTATGCTGTCTCCAAATAAGTAACTCGAAAGAGTTCGGACACGAGGAAAAAAAAAAGTAAAATGGACATGTCGCTCGCCAATAATGATGACACGGCCCATCAGTAAGTGAAAAAGGGAGTAAGTACACTTTCTTGGTACATATATGGAAACATCAAATAGTAGAATTTGGTCAAGTCCTCGACATAATCATGGGACTGAGATGCAAGTACCGGCTCTTTGCTTCGGCGCAGAAGGGAAGTAACAAAGGAGAGAACCCGACGGGGTTCATCATTCATCTTTCAAGGCCAAGAAACGGCATTCAAAAAGGTCCATTTTGGTAAGGATGGGCTGGGCCCGGGGTCAGAGTCCTGCGGCAGAAACACCCCCCCACTAGTCCTGACCATCGTGGACCCGGAAGCCCACTTGGCCCGGCCATCGATTGGGACGGCTCTCTGTCAAAGCTTGGGCTCCGCCCAAAAAGGGAGGGCCGATCAGTTGTTCGGGCGGGCCCTCCACACGCGATTTCTAGTGCTGATAGGCCATCGTCGTCCGTTTATGCTTTCATGTTTTTCGAGCTTTTTAGTCCAATTTGGCACGACAGGTTTTCTCTCTGTTTTCTATACGGTTTCCGTTCATCGAAATTTGCTGCTTTTTAATCGTTCGGTTCGTTGCGCTCTGCTCTCTTCTACACGGAACGACGGAGGCAATTGGAGATTGGAGACCGATCGGGGGCGCATCAGGCGTGTCTCAAAGTTCATCATGTACACAAATTCTCATACCTCTTCACTGTACATCATCATCATCATCGTCTCTCTTCCCTCCTCTTCTTCCTTTTTTTTTTTTTTGAAATCATCTCGTCTCTTAACACCTCTCACACCTCTATACAAACGGCAGACGACCAGACGACGATCACTCAACAGTCTCCCTCTCCTGCGTCAGCGAACAAGACGACGCTCCATAACTCTCCCAGCTCCTCCTCGTCGTTCTTAGCTCTCATCGCCATCTTCTCTCATCTCGTGACGGCACGAACTCCTGCAAATTAGGAAGCGACAGAGCCGGAAATATCAGGAACGGCGAAAACTCTAGCTAGAGTAGCTCGGTTTGGTCGCGGAGCTTGAGGAAAGTGAAATTCTCCTCTTCGATTTTCGCGATTTCTCCGAAGATTAGAAAAAGGAGAAGCAAAAACGAAACGATCGACGAACGGACCTTGTTGTCTCTTCAGCCTACGGACTGGATCGGGTTGACCTTGCCGCTCAGAGGCGAGCACGGCAAGATCGGCCGCGAGAAGACCACGATGTCCGCGCGCGAGGCCGCCGCCACGACCGCGCTGCTGCTGCTGCCGACGACCTTGTCCTTGGCGCTGAGGCATTCGCCGATATCTTCGCCGAGGTGCAGATCCTCCTCTCTGATCCTCAGGACCTGGCTGTGCAAGCACCCCAGCTTCTTCTCCGCCCTCAGCATCCATTTCCCCGCCAGAGACCGCGGCGACTCCATCTCCTCCGACGATCCTCCGCTCTCCGCGGACACCTTCGACTTCGCCGCCCCGAACGATCTCCGGCGATCGATCGGCTGATCGCGGTCCACCGCAGCCCCAGTTCCGGCGGAGCCGAGCTCCGCCGCCAGTCCCTGCGGCAGCATCGTCTTCTTCTTGTCCGCGTCGGAGCTCGGGATCCGACTGTCTCTCACCGTCATCTATCTCGCCGGCGTTTCTTCAACGTCAGAGCACGGAAGCGAAACGATCACGAGCGGTACTCGAAACTTTTCCGAAACGCTACGAGCTGAAAATGCTTGCGGGAGTCGTGATGAATTGCCGACTCGAGCGGTATTTATATACCCGCGCGAGTGGCAGGGAGGGGTGGGGGGGTAGAGCGAAACGGTGCGGTTCTTGGTTTCGGGGGTTGCGTTTTCGAGTAGTTATTGCGGGGAGCTTGAGTTACGTGGTGTGGGGGGGAACAGCTCGGCTCGGCTCGGCTGTGAGCACGTGGCTCGACACGTGTTGACTGAGATGTGAGAGGGGGGGAAGCTGTTTCCGTTTTTGCGGGGCAACGAGAGTTTAGGATCTCTCGGGATCCCGCCACGTCGCCCGAATCCCGTACCGCCACGTCACCGCGGCCTTGATATGATTTCCACCCTCGTGTCGTATCGTATTGTGGATGTGGATGAGATCATGAGATGAGGGGCGACCGAGATTTTTTCCTGCGTTCGTGGCCCGATCAATTATATTTTAATTAAAGCGCTAATCAAACCGGGGGGTGGGGCGGGGCTACCAGATTTTGAAAATTCAAAATACATGTCGGAGCTGGCCATTTGGCTTTGGCTTGGCTTGGGAATGGGAATGGGATTGGGATTGGGATTGGGACTGGATTTTGGGGGGGTTTCGTTTCACGTGTTCCATTTCGGGGGCCACGCGGCCACGGGATCCGCGTGTAAAAAAACGTGGGGCCGTTCGGGGAGCGCCTTGGGGGGGGGGAGGGGGAGGGGAGAAGAACAAGTGCCGTGCGTTCTGGCGGTCAAGGGAATCGTGTGGCCATGGCAAAAGCTAGACCCGTCGAGATGGATTATAATGGGTAGAATTGTTATATGAATTTGTTACGTTCAGCAAAATTGTTTTTAATACAATTTGCTCAAATCAAATTCATCTTTATCTCGCGTTCGTTTGTTCGGTACACTCACATCAGTTTGAATATAAGTTATCCTAATATTTGATCGGGCCGGATCGGGTCGGATACGTAATGAGTTGGGTATGAATAACCGAATTTTCGCTACATATAAATGGGTCAGTTTATTTGAATCGAATTATTTTCAACCTAACTTGATCAATCCGCTTGGCGGATCTAGTGAAAGCGAAGGCGGTGTGCTGTCGATCCGAGTGGCAAGACCCGAAGCCTTTCTTTTTCGTTGGTTTTAACGTTTTGCTAGTGAGGAATGACGAGATGGGGGTGTGTGTAGAAGAGTCGTCGCAGGTGGTGGGGAGTTCGTTTGAATTTTGCGAGATCGGGGCCCCGCTCGTGAACCAGGTGGAGCGTGAGCCCGAGGGGGAGCCTTTTTGTTTACGGCTTTGGGGACTGACGACCGGTCGCCTGATAACGGGGATCTCGTGAGGATGTTTGACGTTGCTGGCACGAGCAACTCGCTCTCCATCTGGACAGACCATCTCACTGCAATTTTTGTCGTGACCGCTTCTTCACCGATACACGTCCCGCGCTTCTTCAAACACTTGGATCGACTCTTCACGTCATGATAGTCCCCTCCCGTTTTGCGAGAACCCATGTAGTTAGAGATGATCGATTCCGAAGTGGGTAAATTCCAAATCAAAAGGGCAGAAATTTATTTTGTACGAGTGGTTTCCCGATCTCTAGATCTGGAAGTCCAATTCCAAGAAGCGTGAATCACTCTAAATAAAATGACTACTATTTGAGAAAAGCATGTTTTTGAACAATCCGTGGCATATTGGTCAAAAGTATTGATGGATTTCTTGGGCTAGGACCGGCTCTCGTGTGGAACCGACAACGTTCAGAGTGTGAAAACAAGAATGAAATCGATCGAGGTAGATTTCCCAATTTTTTACCCACCCGTTTGGTCACCCCGTCATGCAATTACTAAGTTCTCACGTAAACTATGAGCAAGGAAGGCAGCTATACATAATTAGGAATCCCATGGCCATACTTAAGACCCATTGATGTAATAAACATACGGTATCCGACCAGAAAGTTTACCTTAAATTTGGGCTCTATTTTATTTCATGGAAAATAAATAATTTAGAAAAAAATTTCATAAAAATAATCATTTGTATCGCTTGATATAATTAGCCAGCAAAAAATATTTTTATTATCGACGACAATTTATATCTGAATATTTTCGTGTACGATGAAAATATTTCTCATTCATTCATTTTCGAAAGCAATACAAACAATCATATATAAGAAAATATTTTTTAAATTATTCATTTTTTACGAAACAAACGAAAACTTATAAATCATTATCAAGCGGAGCATCCTATTACAAGCCTTCTTGGTTTTTCCTTGCAAAATGCACCAGGTGTTTGGCACCTGCGTATGATGCCACGCAAACCAAACCAAAAGGGCATCACGCGACAGGAGACAAACGTGGGGCTCGGCCTCGCCCCAAATGAAAAACCGTCGGTGCTAAAGTCTCAGATTTTCAAACTCAAGGCATGTGACATTGCTCAGGCGTTTTGCAAGCAAAAGAACTGAAGATCACGAGCTGTGTACACCGGCTCGATAGGACTCGTTCCATCTCCGTGAATCCATCTACATTTCACACCTCTTGTCGGCGACGACGCAAACTTCTCTCCTGTGAGTCGGGCGCGCGCTTTCAAACTCCAATACAATCGAATAGTAAAAAGCACAGCAGCTAGTTGAAGCTGAGCAGACTTCCAGAGTCAAAAAAAGGAAGAGCTTCCACCGAATATTTGGCGCCAGATGGATATGAATCATATGTTTGCAAACAATCATATTGGAACAAGGCAGGCATTACTAGAATATCCTGAGTCAGTGTAGTGCTAACAAAAGTAAAACAAAATGCCCTTTATCTTCCCTCGCCACTACTTCTAAAGCAATCATGTCAAGGAATACAATATTGGGTCAATCAGTCGAAGCATTACCATTCATCACCACTCTTTTAAAACAGGTTGGTGTCGATGACACTGCACGAAGACTAGAACACCTGAACGGTTCGGCGATCCCGCATCCGCACACCACATATAGTTTTGCGTTACTGAAGTGTTAGGCAGGTTTGTCTGCCTAACGAATACACAAGCAGGCAACATGACTAATAAAGTAGAGCCTAAATCCACTGGATTAAAACCAACTGCCAACCATATCTTCCCCACCAAATGTTGGAGCAGCAAAAACCATATATGCGTAGCAATAAACACTTTCACAAACAGGTTGAAGGCCCAAAGAAAAAGAACTTTAATTCTTTGCCAAATCAGAGGATGAACCATTGTGAATATTACCAAAGAGACCCTAATCCGAATTTCATCGAGAAACAAAACTGCAGAACATGTAGGAAGATCTACCAGAACAAAGTATAAAAAACCACTGCCTCATGGCAAGAGCCAGATTCCTGATGAACGCAAAGAGGTGGGGTAAGAAAAGAGCTCATAGTTGCAGTTTACAGGAACTAGCCTAAGGTTCAATCTTCATCCTCTTCGTCTCCATCTCCACCGGATGCCTTCTTCGCAGCTGCCTTCGTGTTCTTTCTCTTCACTCTTCCTGGGCGTCCACCTCCGAACGGGCTCGTTAGAGAGAAATCGATATGCTTCTGAGAATCGACCCTCACCATGAAAGATGGAATGTTGACCACCTGCCTCCCGACCCTTCCAAATGAAACAAGTAAATATTAATTAAGACCCTCTAAGTTCCTAACAACTAACATAAACCACACAAGCCATTAATATAAGCCAGCTCCATAATGCAAGCAGCATGCCAAGTCTGATCCATTATAAACTACTGGTATACCTTATTACAAGTTGTATCTCCAGCATGCATTAAGAAATCCACATCAGTATCAATTCAAATAGGTTATTCCAACAGTAGAGGTGAGTGAAAACTTGTGGCATTCTGGAATACATCGTGCTGATGAAACATGATAAGAATTGAGAGAAAGAAAAGACACTTTGAAGTCAATTCAGGATTACATTAGAGTAAGCATTCTTCTGAACATCTTAAAGGCTTTCTGTTGTGTTTTGACAATCACAGAAGCAACTAGCATAAAGCCCACAGTCGATTGTAACAACATGCACCTTGCTCAGAATAAATGTACCATGTGATTCACAGGAAAATCAAATGTCCCAGATACAGATAGAACACCTCATCGAATAGCCATTGCTCAGCTATCAAAATGGGAATTTTCACATGGCAACAGGCTCAAAGCATATGTTAATGTACTCATAGTCCAACTGACAATTACAAAATGCCAAAACAAGTGAAAAAGGAAAGCAAGGAAAAAATGAGCTATCTATAGACTGAAATGAACAAGAGGTAACAAATACCTTATATGCCTCTGTCTTATAAGCACGCGAGCATGATGAATCGACTTTGCCATTCCCGACTTGAACACAAGCGTCTGAAGCCGGCGCTCAAGGAAGTTCTCCACGGTCAGAGCCAGGACATAATCGAGCTTGTTCTGGTTCTCCTCCAGGAGCCCGTACCGGTTCATCCTGCGCAAAAGCGCCTCGCCCTCGAAAATCCTGCGCGGATTTTTCTCATCGAGAGTGAGAAGCATCCTCGCATTGTTACGGATACGGCTCAATGCGTACTGCACCCTCCACAACTCCCTCTTACATCGGAGACCATACTCTCCCACAAGCTTCAGCTCTGCATCGAGACGCTCCTTCTCGTAGGGGCGTCGCGGCTTCTTGAAGGTCTTCCCATCTAAAACAGACACAAGCCAGAGGAAATAAAAATTCGAGCACAGTAAATCCATGGAGGAAACAAACAGTTCCAAAATGATAATTACCCAAGATCAGGACACACAAGACAGACAAAACTCGCAAGAGACAATGCAATATAAAGCTTCCCATTGCAAGATCATGGCCATAAACCCAGGTGATAATAAGAAGAAGGCCACATGGAATCACCTTCTCTACGTTACACAGGTCAAGAAATGCCACGTTCCGAAGTCAAAAGCTAATTGCAAGCAGGGGCTGTTCATAGATACCAAGCAAATACCACCATTGCACTAGGACGGCATCTAAAATGCACGATCGTTAATGGGCGAGAAAAGCGTGCCGAAGCCGCTGGATCGACTCGCGAGACACGAGAACGCCGGAAATTTGCAGCAACGATACGGTCGAGAACGGAGGTAAACGAAAGGGAAAGGGGGGCGGAGCGAAGAGAACTTACAGTTCCGGTAGAAGCTGACGTGAACCATGGCTCTGCGTCGGCTGCCTCTCGGTTGCTAAGCCCACGGAGAGAGAGAGACGACAAGGGTGAAGGCTGTCGTCGTTTTCATTTATAGTAGAGGATGCCGAAACCCTAAAAACCTTAGTGGGCCGGCGACTCTTTCATGGGCTTTTTGCATGCTCGGTCTCGTTGTTGCTATCGGTTCAGGCCCATGGCTTAGTGTCCTAGTTTCTTTTTTTTTTTTGGGCAAATATTATAAAAAAAAATCTCAAACTGTGTTCATTGTGACATAAAACCCATAAAAAAAAATTGTGTCACCAAAAATCCAAAACTTTCCAACCGTGACACAAATACCCAAAACCTTTCTTTTGTGTCGCAAAAAAAAAACTCAAATTTATACATGTGTGACGTATATACACTATATTTCAGTTCTATCTAAGGTATATTTATCATGCTCGTATAAGTTCGGGGTTATTTTATGACACAAAAATTTTTTTGGAGTATTTGTGTCATAATGGGCAAGTTTGAAGTTTTCATTGACACAAAAAAAAAGCTTAGGATATTTGTGTCACATTTAGCATAGTTTGAAATTTTTTGTGGTATTATCCATTTAATTTTTGTTCATACTATCCAGATTCATATAGTTTTTTATTAGTACAAGTTACTAGTATAAATAGGAAAATGACATTAATAATCCCTAAAATTTGGCTCGTTACACAATGTCATATTTGGATTTTTAATTCATTCAATGTGATCATTGAATTATTTCTAAACTTTCAATTTGTTCGATATAATCCCTCAACTTGTCAAACCAGTCATTCAATATTATTCACATGTTTACATAATTACACTATTGCCCATATTTTAAAATACCATTTCATTCCAATCCATTTCTTAAATGAACAAAAAAAAAAAGAGCAATCTTTTTGTTATTTTTTTGGTCTTTATAGATATTGTGATAGTTTCACTTAATTTATTCAAGCTTATGATTTCTGTAATAGTGAAAGTAGAAATTCATTTAGAATTATTTCAGATTGATATATATTTTATTTTCCAATAAAAGGTGCTTTCATAAGAATGTCATGGAACGATATTAATTTATCTATCAATTCTTGTACTTATATTAATTTTAATTATGTTCCTTATATTTTAGATAGATCAATTTTTCAAGCCTTTGTGTTTCGTGTTTTTGTAATCAAATTCAGTTAAATTTGTGAATAAGGAAATTAAAATAGGAGGAATATCAATAGGATACAACTCTAAACAAGATTCTACTGTCGTCATTATACATATCATAAGCTAAAATATACTTAAATGGATCTATCATAAGATTTATAAAGACCAAGAAGGTAAAATAGTAATAAAAATATGGCAAATTTTTGTTGATTCAAGAAATGGAGTGAAATGAAAAAAAAAATTAAAATCTAGGCAATAATTTAATTAAAATCTTGTGAAGAGTCTTAAAAGGTTTATTTTAGGAGTGATCAATTTTAGGGTGAGTCAGTTTTCACCTTGAAATCGTGAACCAGTTTGTGAGATCGGAAATCGGCCCACCTTGTCCTGCGACCGGTCCAATCTAATTCTCAAGTGGGTTCAGGAACCTGCAGTGAATCTTCTTTTACCTATTCCCTGCAAGACTGTAAGTATTGTTGAATAGTCTAAACTCTCATTTTTTTTTAATATTTCGGATCTTTAATCAATGAAAATCTCAACGAAAAGACGCCAAAGGTGTGATAAAATATGATCAAGTATCATTAACTTGCTAATAAATAAAAAAAATATTGGTCCGGTCCGGATGGTTTGGTTCCGCACCTAAAATAGGGAACCGAACTGACAATCACCGGTTTAAAATTTATGAAATCGAGAATTGCTCGGAACCGGCCGGTTTGGTCCGGTTTCCGGTTCAGTGCGATTCCGGTGCTCACTCCTAATTTACTTGACTTTTTCAGATGAAAATTTAAGGGAATTGATTTTGCAAGTAGTTTCGCCAAAACGCGAAAGAAAGATTTCATGCAAGTGAAACGGCGGATGTCCACTGGACACTCCGAGTCAAAAGCCCAGTCCACCGGAAGAAGCTACGGCCTTGTTGTCATCGTATCCAAGCCACTCGCGCTGCAAAAATCTCCATCGTCCTCCTCCAGACACCCAAGCGAAAGCAGAGGACCTTCCTTGGTCTCTTCGAACGAAGAGGCAAAAGAGGAGGAAATGCAGAACGTCGTGATCGTATCAGCAGCTTCGAATTCATGGCCGCCGCCGCTCTTGCCGCCCGCCGCGGTCAAGCCCTTCTTGGGTCGCCGCCAGCTCTTCTTCGACGGCATCTCCTCCGCCTGTTCTCCGTCTCCTCGTACCCGGAGCGACGAACCCGCCAACGACGGCGCGCCGCCTCGCCCTTCAGCTCCTCAGAGGTAAAGACTCCCTCTCTCTCTCTTTCAACTTCTTCAAGGCGGGGGGAAAAAAAGGAAATGCATTTGGTCGAGTGGAGGCTATGTGGGTCGCCGTACCAATCCATACTGAATGGATGAACGAGCAAATTAGCCTTGGGGGATCAATTTGAAGCCACCCATTCCTCGTGCAGTTCTCTGTGGAAAAAAAGATTTAACCTTTTTTGTTGTTTTGAATGCTCGGCAGAACGGTAGATCCTACTGAGGAGTTGGGTGAGCTGGTGCGGAAGAATTTGCCCTTCACTACGCGGCGAATGCTGTTTGCGAGTTTGTTCATGTACTCGTGGTATCATCCTTCAAGGTATTTATCAGGTTGGAGCTGCTCTGCTTTTTTTTCCCGTTCTCAATCGACTCTTGGAGTGCATCCCTTTTGTGGCCATATTGTCATTGATATTTCGTTCGAATTTAACTTTAAGTTTCAAGAAAATGATTACCTGCAATGGGGCTCCAGAAGAGTGCTAGTTTATTCACTGTCCAGAGCTTGTGGCACTGTTGAAGTTCTCTCTTGGCCATTATGCCAATTCAATTGTACCACACAAGGCATCGGTTGAAAAAATGCTCGTCTGACACGAATATGTATCGAGGTTGCTTAAAGGAGTGAAAACGAAGTTGGTTTGAAAAAGGAAACTAGGTCTTGGCTTAGAGAATACCTAACTGTTACCCCTGTCGAGACATGCTTTGAAGTTGCATATGTGCTGATATTTCGAAGAACTGGGAGTAAAAGCAGCAAGGTAGCGTGATAATTCTGCCCTTACTTTTGTGTATGAGAGAGAGAGAGAGAGAGAGAGAGAGAGAGAGAGAGAGAGAGAGAGAGTTGCTGAAGTTTAGTTACTGTAATAAAAGTTTGGCCAGTTACCTATAGAAGAAAAAAAGTTTGGCCAGCGACCATCCTGCTAGTTCTATCTATAAACTTTGCCTCAAATTGATTTGATCGATCAATAGTGGCACTATTGGATAAAGAAAGGCCATCCTTTTATTAATTGCATGCCGAAATCTCTTGATTATGCTTCTGAGTTTTGACCATAAAATATGCAATGCATGTGTAGCGTATGCTTTAGGGGATCCATCAGTGACACTTGAAGAAGTAACCCCTCCTGTTTTTCCTTCCGGGTCACTCTTCCCAGCTGAGGTGACACCCTTTCCCCCTACTTATAGCTGTTATTCATGACAGTCGCTATTTTCTTGTGATGTTTGTGGGAGGTGATTGATAGTCGTCAAATTGACAGGAAAGAATTGCCAATCTTTTTGAGAAAAACACCTTTTCCGTCGTCAACATTTTTGATGTAACATTGCGCCCGCAGCTTAACATAACTGGTGCTGTTGAGGTATTACAGCTGGTTTCTTGTGATTTGCGTTTGTCTTCTATTATTTACCTTCCTATGTTCTGCTTTATTTATAGGTTTCTGTTGGCTTATTAATTGCCAGATTCCTGAAGGAAATGGTTCAGGAGTTGTCTGGGATGAACAAGGACATATTGTTACTAACTATCATGGTAAGGGCTTAAGGTCACTTGCTTGATGCCATCCAGCAGATCATGCTGGACATTTCATTGTTATGAAGCTGTTGTTTTACCTAAGTTGAGTGACCACATTTATCACCCATATTCAATGACCATGCATTCGACTGCAAAATCATGACTGCAACCTATCTATCAGAGTGGGTCAAAAAAAAAAAAACCTATCTATTAGAGTGCTTCCTGTTCAGAAAATCTCTTTAATGTCTTTGCTTATTAACCCCAGTATGTCATAAGCACCACTGAAGTTAATTGGAAGGAAGCCGTTTGACATGACTTGCTCTCTCTCTCTCTCTCTCACTGCAGAACCATCTGATTCTATCAGTTTAGGCTCTTTAGGCATTATATTGACATGTCCTTCAAATGTTGCCAGTTATTGGCAGTGCACTTTCAAGAAATGCAAAACTTGGCCAAGTTGTAGCACGTGTTAATATTCTAGCATCAGACGGGTGAGCTTTTGGTCCTTCTTGCTTAAACTAGCAAGTGAAATCATTTCCAACATTTGAATCCATCTCCAGACAGGGACATCTCTTTAATATAATTATATTTTCTCAACTGATCCTTTGAAAGGGTCCAGAAGAACTTTGAGGGCCAGCTGATTGGTGCCGATCGTGCTAAAGATCTTGCTGTCTTGAAGGTAAGTTGATGAATTGATGACGAGATTAAAGGGTTGATGTTCACTTATCGTTTGTTGAATAGGCATGTCTAATAGAATACAGAGTCTGGCATTCTTGGATTGAATAGTGAACCAACAAAACTGACGTGGTTTCTAGCCTTGTTGAATGTTGCATTGATAGGGCATCAGAACAATTCACCATGTAACTATGCTATTCGAGGAGACAACAAAATATATTTGATTATTGTTCTTCCAATCTATATAGAGATGCAGATGAGTTAATAAAGGTCATGAGATCAAGTAATGTTTCTGTAGTATGTCTTCCAGCCTAGCTTCACTGACTTCTTACTGCTTTTATGTTTTACGAGGGTGACGAAGCACAAACACAGAAACTGACCATATCATTGGAATAGGTCCGAACAAAATTGTTTTTGTTCTTGCAGTATAGTTTCATTTCCTCTAAGCAGATATCACCAATTCTATCTCACAGACAACCACATATACAAGTACAATGAA